ACGGTACGTGGCGAACGACCAGTTGGAAGATTTAATTGCGTCATTGGAACGCGATATGCCGTCGACCTTCTTTGATGTTAATAATGGTCCGAGTCCTGGTAATGACCATTTCTCGGATAATGATAATGATGGCAATTTCACTCTCGAACCAATTTGTCTACCATCACATCATAAACAAGAGCAACAACAAGCCTGCAAGGACAATACTCCAGTTTGGTCACAACAACCTTCCACACAATTCGCAGTTCATCAGGTATGTTTGTGTCGAAATAGATGATATATTTCAAAATTGATGAATAGGCTGAAGAAAGAGCTTTCGGAATCAGAAACCGGCAATCTGATTTGAAGAGAACTGGATATTCATTGAGCAGTTTAGTTTAGGATGTCAGTATGTTCATTTGATTTATTTTATGAAATGATACTTTAAGTTATACAATATTTAAGACGTCTCATTTGGACCAGAGTACAATAAATCACGTCGATGCAATGCCCACGCAAGTGCCGAACGTCGATCGTCATATATCAGCCATCGATGCTGTGCAATCGTCGTTCGAACGACCCATATCCTTATCAAGTTCAGCTCCAAGTCGTTTTATTCCGTCTAAACAAAATTCGCTCGTTGATGAAACAAAACTGCAATCAGTCATGGTAAGCGGCGAACTTATCTTTTGCGTATTGTATGCAACGACTCAACTCATTTCTTCTTTTCCTCGTCTAAATGTTGATCCTTTTAATTGTGTTGTACGGCATTTTCTGTGGTGACTGTGAATGTTCACTCATTTTCTATCGCTGAGAAACCGAGCCGCTTAAACATGATGATCAATGGTAGCTGACATTTTGCATGCCTTCAGTGAGAATAATAAGAGAGGCTGTTTCTTATTATTATACTCTTCAAATGTTGTTATTGGTCGGAGCAATAGCACACAATATAATGATCGGTTATATGAAAATAGATTTTCGCCCATTCGATCCATATGGAATCATTATTGTTTAAGTCAAGGCAGAAAAAAAAAGTGCCCATTTAGTGCCCATCCAATATAGATAAGCACTTTCAGTGGACTGATCTGTCGAGCGAAAGCCCTGCAAATCTTGAAGTAAGTTTCAAATCAGCACTGCAAATATTGAAGTTTCATACTGTTTGGAATCGTTTGTCCTGAGTGAGCCGATCGCTTAGAGTTCCAATAAATTACGAAGAACTACCAACAAAGAAATGCTTCTTTTGAATTTATTGTTCAAAGTGGTTGTGCCGTTTTGCAATGACTCTGTGTGCATTGATCTATGTAATTTGTATTGCATCTTATTGTGTTGCATTT